AGAAAAGTCTAATCTTTTTGGAGAAAGATCTTTCAACATAGAGGAACTTAGGACTACATTTTTAACACCAGAAAGAGGCCTAACTGAGTTCCCTCTTCTGTTCATATAAGGCCTAGAGTTGCTAATGGATGTATACCCATCTTTAATCAGCGATTTCACTGATGTTTGATCAACATCACTAATATTGGAATTACGTGTAAACTTACAGTTGTTATTTTGATCTACGGGTTTGTGCATTTTGAAATACTGGTCTAGCTTGCTTATTTGACTACAAATAGCAGCAGAATCGTCAATTTTCTTTGATAATATTAAAAATTCTGATTCTAACAAATACTTTGTATTACTCAATTGTTCACATTTGCCCCCCGAATGATGGTCTATAGGTGTGGCATGTGTGGAATCACTACAAAAAGGTTTGGATTCGGCACTCTTGTACGTTTTGATTCTATGCTCAAATGGTCGAGTTCATGTTTAAGTTTATTATTTTCACTTGTAAGCAAATTTACTTTCTCACTTAGCATATTATTCTCATTCAAAAGCACATCTATTTTCTCAGTGAGGACGTCCTTTAACTTGGTGGTGCTTTATTTTATCAATACATCTTCAGCATATGTGCTATTTTTAATATCAACAATACCGGTACCAGAATATTTTATTATACGCGGCATGACAGAAACAAAAGGCCTACGATACCTGGGGGTGTCATACATGAGCGTTTGGGTGCTCGTGATGGAGTGCACATTACTACAAGTGCTAGCAACACTGTATTTGCTTAACGGAAGTAATTCCGGTGGTGTGAAAGTCAATTCTTGTTTGTTCAAACTAGAGTGAAAATAGTCCAAGGGGGGCAACTCCAGTGGTACTAGGCTAGATTCATTCACTGAAGAATTATCTAGGCTTTTGGGGCTGACCTTAATTAGTTTTATTGAGGTTGTACTAACAAGATTCATTGATTCTTGAGAGGGACTAAAGTTAGGACTATAGTGAGGCTATCATCTATCTGAAATTCTGACACTCCTGTGCTAGTTATCACACTATTTACTTCTATTCCTTATATGGAATAGAAGACGTTATTGAACGGGGAGTTATTCCCCTTTGTTGCTTCTTCCTTTCTGCAAATTGTCATGCATGGGTAAAGTCACATGTATTTGCTCTTGTCTTTATTTCGTTTTGAAAATATTATTAAGTTGTGGAAGATTTAAAAAATTTTTGATTTTAACAAGGCTTGCATGTGTTTTCCTGTGAAATAGGCCGTGCTTGGGGAGAGCTTTGGACTTTCTGTCATAAGTTTCCATGGGAAAATGTTGAAGTAGCCGGTCTGTCAGTCCGCATCCATATTGCGTGCAGGTTGAAGTTGGCGCGAGATTTCTCGTTTACATTGACACATAATTAATATAAAGATGGAAAGATCGATATGACAGCAATAATTTCATAAGTGAAAATATTTTAGTTTATTGTTTTCATAATGGATTTATTTACCGGCACGTTTTATTCCTAACGAATTTGTCATTGTTTTTTCTTTTTCATGTAATTTGATGTTAGCGATGTCAACAATTTATCGAATTAACTCGGGTCAGCGAGGTCAAAACTCGGGTTAGCGAGGTGAAACATGACAGTGAACTCGAGTCAGCGATGTCACTTTGTCTATCTATATTCATATGCTGATATCTATTAAGATACCCATTTAATTTAATTGTGCGCGCAATCGCCAAATGACCATGTTACTTAACATGGTCACCGCCAACTGGGGGCAGCGCACATGAAGCTGTGACCACAAGCCAATATATAAATTGCAACCAATTTAGCCGACATCATTAATATCCATTCGTTATTAATGGTGGGTTTGGAGGGTAACAATTTTCCGACCAATTTAACTCAAAATACTCAATAGCCCCTTGAATTGCATTCAGGAAAATGGAATTCCCAGTATCTGAAAGATGAACACCATCCTTATCGAACAATTCTGGGTTAATGTAAGATATATCTGGGTACCGGATACATTTTCCCCCATATACAATTACTTGCTTAGAAGCAAAGCTATTAATCCTTTTCCTTGCCCTTTCCATTACAATACAATTTGGTGAATAGCGCCACTGCTGTCTTGGAAGGATATGCGACCAAACAACAATAGAGTATGGATATTCACGTCTCGTATATTCAAATAAATCACGAAGAGTATCACGAAAAATATGTAGTGGTAGGATTCCCAAATCGTTACCTCCACAATGTACAATTATATAATCTGGGCAAAATTGGTAATTGTTTAATTTTGTCTTCAATGCTTCCAACCGAAGGCCAGAGTGACCCTCCCATGTTACCCAAAAACCAAGACGCCGTAAACAAAGACTTGGACCACCCGGCCTATATTTGGATTTATGATATGCATGTTCTACAATTGAAGAACCAATTATCAACACAATTCGATAATCTGAAAATAACAAGAAACTACAATATTTCATGACTCTATATTAATTTTGGTAGTCTTATATACGTACGAAAACAAGATGATTTCCATCTACCTGCTAATTTAATTGTTTCTTCGGGACAATTGGCTAAAGACAGTGCAGAAGCACCCCCAATTCTAAATGAGTGAGTTTTATAAGGCCCATCATCAATTCCTAACAATGTAAGAGCCTTTCTCAAAATGGAGGAGAATTGATACCTTGTAAGAATTGATTTATTAAAATGACAAAAAACCGGGCCAATAGCCCCAGGCCTAGAAACTAAAAACTGAGCCATGTGATACACTGCACATACATTATCATTTATGGATGGAATAGTAATTGTAATTCCTTTTCCCCACTGATCAGTTTTAGAGTGACGTAAGGTAACTTTCATAACAGCTATCGAGGAATCAATTACAATGTCATCAACTGCAAGAATATTATCTATATCATTGCCCTTCGAACAAGTCAATTCCCCTATCCTAAATAAACCAAAGAATGCAATGGTAAATGCTGCCCTGAATAATTTTACTTCATATAAATCAGCACAAACCGAGGGTAAAATCATTAAAATTTTCCGAAGTAAAGTAATAGAAACAGGTAATCTACTATCACCTACGTGTATACCTCGACCCCGTTTCATACCTTCAAGTGCTTTTATTACCAAAAATTGTTTGGTAATATCCTGCCCACCTATCATCTTACATTTATAACTAATTGAAGACACATAAGATCTTACTGTGCTAGGAGCCAGATTCCTCAATGACAATGATGCAATAAATTTTAAAACCATTTCCAAAGTTGGAGGCCATACCTCAACAATGTTATTATGAACACAAAATGAGGAGAAAGAGGATAACCCAGTGGCATACGCCAAGTGTGTATTGTATGAATATGCTGCTCCAATTAATCGGTTAACTTCGTTCTGTAAATCGCATCCAATATGTTTCTGGGAACCTGCTGTGGTGACTGGTCTGCGTTGGGTGCTAGTCGCCGAAATCGATCCCACTGCTGACGAGAAATAGCATCACTAATTTCATTATCAAGTCCACATATGTGTTTTGCTCGAAAAATAATATTATGTTTTAGAAACACTAACAAAAGGGGGCGAAGAAGGGACATAACTCTTTTCGATTTAGATGTGCATGTATTCAAAATACTGACCAAAGCTAAATTATCAATGTGAAGCAGTAATTTCTTATTTGCAAACTGCGGGCCCCAAAGTTCCAGCGCAATGACCACAGGAATCAACTCTAAAAAAGTAACATCAGCTAAAATAGATGACTTTTCCCAAATATCCGGCCAACCATAATAGACCCATTGACCGGCAAAATAAGCCCCACATCCTAACAAAGCACCCCCAGCACTATCTGTGTACAAATCTAATGTTTCATTACAAAACCACTCTTTCTCTGGAAATAATGTCACACCATTAAAATTTTCTAAAAAATGAAGCCACATTGACATGTCCTCCCGTAAACTTTTATTAATCCTGATATGATGGTGTTTTTCCTTAATGCCACACATAGAATCATACATTCGACGCAAAAACGCCCTGCCAGGCCTGACCGCCCTACACACAAAGTTAAGGGAACCGGTCAATGTCTGCAAATCATGCAATGTAACTTTCTTGCGCTCCATTATAGACTTCAGCAATGTGATCAATTTTACAATTTTTTCATTAGGAATTCTGAGACAATAATCCACACTGTCAATTTCAAGACCCAGGAATGTCAGCCGGGTAAGCGGGCCAACAGTCTTTTCACTAGCAACAGGAACACCAATTTCATTACAAAGATCAGTAAAACCAGACATCAACATGCTACAGTCAATAGAATCACTTGACCCCATAAAGATAAAATCATCCAAATAATGATCAAATGAACTGCAACCAGAGTTATATTCTATAATCCAATGTAAAAATGTGGAAAACTTTTCAAATAAATTGCAAGAAATGGCACAGCCCATAGGAAGGCACTTATCTATATAGAAACAGTTATTGAAATAATACCCTAACAAATCAAAATCCCCTGGATTTATTCTAAGTAATCTAAATGCAGATTTTATATCCATTTTGGCCATCAATGAACCTTTACCTAATGACAATAATTTATCTATAACATTATCAACCGAAGTATAATTGACAGTACATAAATCAGGGTGAATAAAACTATTTATGCCCTTTGTTCTGGGATAAGATAAATGCGTTATTAGCCTCCAGCCACCATCAGACTTGGGAACAACACCTATGGGAGATATGTGTAAATTAGAAATTGGCCTTTGTGCAAACGGACCAGCAATGCGACCCAATTCGATTTCCTTACAAAGTTTTGCAGATAGTTCAATGCTATGCTCATAAGCAGATATTAAATTTTTACTGAATTGAAAATTCCTTGGACCTGTATAATTTAACCTGAATCCATTGATTAACCCCTCTTTTAATTCATTTGCCCTGGCCCTTACAGGGTACAATTCCAAATATCTGCAAATTTTTCCTACATTTAAAGGTGACTCACCCATGGACCACACATTACTTATTCCAACATTGGACCCAATTCCAGGAAAAACCTGACATCAATTCCTATATTGTTGCCCCCTCCCCCTGAAACTTGCATTTTGATTATCAAAAGACCTCTTACCAAACCTCTGAATATTTCCTTGTCGAGGGCCTACATTATCGTACATGGAATTACTGTATCTATTATTACCACCCTGTAAAAATGGTCTTGATTGATTAACACTGTTATTCAGGGGATTGCCCCACCTGTATGAATTACGTGGAAAACCGATTGGACGCTGTTGCACTGACCCCTCAAAAAATCTCCTACTGGTATTTTGTGTATTCTGAACATTACAAGCTACAACAGGGTGATTACCTGCACAGGACATACAATTGTGCCAGTATTGACAAGATGTCTTAGAACAATACCCTTTATAATTAAAATCAAAACATTTTCCTGTTAACTTAATACTGGGCTTAGTTACTGATTTACCATCGGCCATGTGAATCAACCATAACTCAAAATCTACACTTGACCAAGAGCTACTTGGATCCAGACTCCTTTTTAACCGAAATTGTTCATCATATGAACTCCATCCATAGCCCCTTGACGCGGCAAGCCTAATGGTGTGCATGTATTTTAACATTTCTTGCACCCTTTCAGGATGACCACGTAAATAAATACTAATATAAACAAGGAAGGCATCAGTCCAACTGTCAATTGTCAGAACAGAATGAGTCAACTTTTCTCGGGTTACAATTTCTCCCTCATCATTCAAAACAAGAGCTGTTTTACCAGAATTGGTTTTGGTGATCAAGTGAGCTAAATCAACATACTCGCCTCTAGCAATTTTTTGGCGCATACTCTGCGAAATGTTATTACCCAAAACATCATGAACACTCTCTGACATAGTGGGTAAACATTCAATATTCTGACGCATACTTTCCGAAATGCTTTGACCTAAAACCTCATGACCACTCTCGCAAATAGTGGGACTTGCAATATTGGGGACAGATGACATGAAGCCTTCCTGATTTTCACAATTACAACTCATTATATCACCTGTTATACCTGATCCTGACATAGGCCTTGTAGGGGTACCCACAAACTGTGATGGAATGGTACTGGGTATACTATACTGTGGATGTTGCGAGAGCCCAGCCATCACATTAACCGGCTGCTGAAAACTACATGAACTCGCCCCCTGCGAAGCCACAGGACGCCTTTTCTTTCCTGCAGAGCCACCATTACCTGTACCAGTTTTCTTTCTTTTTGGAATACCACTAGATCTAGCAGAGGAAATTACAGGTATGGAAATAGTATTGGGAACAACAAAGTCACTGTCAGTGTTTACACTAGTATTATGTTGATTCTCTCGATCTGAAGCCGGTGGGCGAACTAATACTGGTATTCGCGATCTTATACATGTAGCATTGATTCTAGCAGGCGCCGTATTATCATCAGGGAAACTGCCGAAATTACTAGTCATGCATGGGTAAAGTCACATGTATTTGCTCTTGTCTTTATTTCGTTTTGAAAATATTATTAAGTTGTGGAAGATTTAAAAAATTTTCCCACCCTTACCCGTCCCTAATATGGGCTATTTTACAATTTTGTTTATAATTGTACTGTCGTTGCTTTGCATTGTAGATTTTACAAATGTCACAGCTGTGAATATCCACTATGGTTATGTTAAAGGTTGCACAATTTTATTATTTTGTTTGGTTGAATTTGGGTTATCATGGTTATGTGATAAATAGTATTAAAAGATAATTTTGTTGATGATTACTTACATTTTTGGATTCAAATTGTTTTTTAGTGTTTTGTTTCATTTGCAGGATATCTTATTTGGCGATTGCGCGCACAATTAAATTAAATGGGTATCTTAATAGATATCAGCATATGAATATAGATAGACAAAGTGACATCGCTGACTCGAGTTCACTGTCATGTTTCACCTCGCTAACCCGAGTTTTGACCTCGCTGACCCGAGTTAATTCGATAAATTGTTGACATCGCTAACCCGAGTCAATTTGAGTATTGTTGTTGTTTGATTGTTGTTGGATTGATTTGTTGATTTTGATTGTTTTGGGCTTTGACAGTTGCGTCAGCCCATCTAATAAATTAAAATGAACAGCTGTGGCCAATACTATGCCAAAAGTAGGTTAGGGTTAATAAAAAATTACAATTTAATTTGTTTTGTGTTTTTATTAACTCATTCTGTGAAATAATGGGCGTATCATTGTCGTCACACTCGCATAAAACACTACTCCTAGACTGAATATTGAGTAGGCCTATTTGAGTTTGGTGTAGTCATTGGCTCTTCCTTGGATTGTTTAGAAATTTCACCCGCTGGGTGTGGGTTATCTGTACTGGCCAGATTTATATTATAAGACAAGGTCTTTTGAAGCAACTCATTCATAGCATCTGCTCTCGATTTATCAACAATTTTCAATATTTCTGGCAAATCTGTCTCAATAAAAACATGTTCATTTTAGACCATTTATTAGAGCACTGCATGTTGTATTATACAAATTTAAGGTGTATCTCCAGGTGGATTTATGTTGGCTTAATCGTGTGCGCAATGAAGTAGATTCTATTGCATTGGGCTCATCTTGTAATTCATATATACACTTTCCTGTATAAAGCTGACGGTGGGCTCATTAATGATATCTGGCAAAATGTGTTTGAAGAACTACTTCTAATCTATATATTATGATTTACCAGTTAAGAAATTGTTGGGGTAATTTTGTTTCTTTTGGAGAAAATATTCATTTTCCAGAGAAAAGAATATGTATTCTGTCCGGGTAGCCAAAAATATCTGATGTAATTATTCTACAGCCTTTATTCAGAAAGTGTAATCTTTTACCCTATATTTCTTCCCTCGTCTTCATTTTCCCCTTCTGTGCATATCACTTCATTTTGTCTTTGACAGTATTATTTTATTACATTTGTGGACCAGTCTCCGCCACGTGGATTACAAATCGTATTTTGGCCTGTACTCTAAAACGACAATTCGGAGATGTTCATTTATCAAATACTCCATTCATATTCATACTCCTTGCAGTGCTTCGTTTGATTATGCCTAATCCCACTTTACACTGATGTAACGGAAGCAAATTTCTGTTCCAAATTATGACTGGTCAATTGTCCGATTCAGAGGCGGATCCAAGGGGGCGCCCCCCCCCCCCAAAAAAAAAAAATTTCGACAGTGCCCTTTTTTACTACTGATAGTGCCTTTTCTCAGACCCAAATATGTCCGTTCCCAACCCGTTGCAGGGATCCCAAATGAGTCAAACCATCGACTCAAACACACCAGTCTGGTCTAATTAATGCTTCCCACTTTCAAACGAATACTTGTGGTTTAGCTAACGGTGCCCTAATCCTATAGAGTGACTATAGACAGACATCAATGATAGCATCTTGTGGAATCGGCGGCGAATACACTCATGCCCATCACCTACGCCCATGAGTGCAACTTGATGTAGCATTGTTTCATGTGTGCACAGTACAAGTTACAAGGCTTAAATAGTGAAGTGGCTAGGGAATAGATTCGTCTTTTTTCCCATCATAATGCCTCGCTCGCCATGACAATTTTCGAGTCGCATGTTCAACTGGCTCTTTTGCTCAATTTTAAGGCTCTTTTTCAACGATTTCCGAACGTTTACTTAGACGAAAATATCAGCCAAATAGCTCTTGGAATGGCTACAGATTCAAGGAAATGACGGATAATTTTCTTGGCCCCCCCCCCCCCAAAAAAAAAACCCTCTCAGCGGCGTGCCCCGTCTCCGCGGTCAGTGCCCTCATTTTGCGGCGCCCCCCCCTTTTCAAAATTCCTAGATCCGCCCCTGCGATTAACTACCAATAGCTAACTGCGTAACAATATCATTACGCTTTAAACAGAGCTCCAAATTGGACCAAATATTATGTTTACATAACGTTGCGTCATTACTCCCCATTTTATTATTCCCAATTAACCACTGCATAGCAGAATGGTGCAGAAAAACTAATTGCGTGACAAACGAGGCTATTAAAACGAATACAGTGTAAACAAGACTGTTTGGAGACGAACAATACCTTCACCGTTTTTAATACCTTAAATCATTGTCCAAAGTTTTAGGGAAGACCCCAGATCATTGTCCAAAGTTTAAGGGAAGACCCCAGATTAAACGAAGGGCTGTCTAGTTGCTGTACTTGGGATAGATTTGATTGAAAGGGAAGAATAGACACACTCCCTCAAAAGCTCAAGTATCAGAAGCCAATCCAGCAGTGGCCAGAGAGGGATTTCTCTGGGCATTGCTTCAGGAATATAGCACAAAATGGGAATTTCGCATGTATTCGGAGACTGTAAACCAGTCTGTATTTATCAACAATTGTATTTGTATACAGAATCAAAACAAAAACTGGTTAGGTATGTGAACACCTAAGTTGGGAAGTGATGTCAGGTGCCTTGGAAAGAGTAAGCGAATCCTACCTCGTGCTATTCAGACTTGCACGTTGCTTTTAGAAGCTGGGGCTACTACTGATCCTTCATGCTAACATGTCTCTTAGGCTGCTATTACATAGGGGTATACGGTATTCGGTATACGTTTAGAGGTATACGCGAATACTTGTGTTTGAACAACAGAAATTTGCTTACCGGTTTACATCGGACTATATGAGTATAGGGGCACGCTATACGCGTATAATACATGGTATCGTGCATGTTCGGTTTTTTTCGGCGTACTTGCTTCAGGAAGGAGTAAATTCAATGGGATGAGTAGAAAATGGGGCATTTGTGTTGTAAAAAGTTCCAATTTAAACGTTCTGAAGATTGATGGACATATCTCTAGGTATGGTAGACTATTCTAGATTATCATGAACAGTGATTTCCAGTTATCCCCCCCCCCCCCCAATATTGGAATGAGCCGACTCAAAGCCTGACCTTCACGCCACCATACTTTACGCCTCCGCAAGTAAAAACCAAGTCAGAGTTTCCTCTTCTTCTGAATCCATTCTGTTTGGATATGAATGAGCCTCGATGAAGGTACCAAAATCGGTTGGGAAAATAACTGACCAGGCCAGTATACCTACGTATAGTATATGCCGTGTAAAGCGCCGTGCCCGTATACCGTATACCGAATACCGTATATCGTATATCCCTCTGTAATAGCAGCCTAAAGGAGCTTAAAATGTGAAAATCAGACCTTTGTAGGATCTTTTAATCACATGTTGGACCACGCAGCAAACAAACAATATTTGTACCATCACAAATATAGAGGATCCCCGGCAACAAACTTCACAACACTGTGTAGATGGTTTAAATAATTATAATCTAGGTCAAATACCCAACTTTTCGCTCTGGCAAAAGAAGGATTTCTCGGGTCATTGCTTCGGTAATATTCGTACACATGAACACAAAATATTTGTTAATCTTGGCGGTGGGAGAATAGATATATGCTCCATATAAAACAAAATGCTGCAATGCATGAACACACCAAAACAGTAATCTGGCAAAAGAACCCTCGGTATCTATCATTATCTTCCTCTCTTCAAATTTCAACTGCCAACTATGGAAGCCGATAATGATCCTAATCTCGCTTCGTCACTTCTCTATGAGTTAACAGCGCGAAAGCAAGAAGGCCAGAAATATATTCAGTGACAAGCCAAGAAGCCACGGAACTTCATAGTATCGTGTTGTTTATTTCTTGACTTCGCTATGAGTCTTTAACCGGAAGACATAAACAAGAAGCCGCAATTAAGCATCAACTGGTTTCTATACGACTGCACGTAACAGATATAGACCGGAATTCGAAGTATTTTCTAATAAATATATTCAGTGACAAGCCAAGAAGCCACGGAACTTCATAGTATCGTGTTGTTTATTTCTTGACTTCGCTATGAGTCTTTAACCGGAAGACATAAACAAGAAGCCGCAATTAAGCATCAACTGGTTTCTATACGACTGCACGTAACAGATATAGACCGGAATTCGAAGTATTTTCTAATAAATAGAAACTTTAAACACTTTTTAATAATTTTTATATCTTATTTGTGCTTGAATTCGAAACAAACAATATCGCCAACATTATCAGGCGCTAATTTCAATGCAAATGTATCATAGTGTGTGTGTTTTATGGGGGTTTTTTTTTGTTTTTAATTTTTTAAATTGTATATTTCAGGTTAATTTGACTGTCTTTGATTCGTTTAGCTGTCATTTGATCAATATTTTCACTTTCAGCTACAGTTAACCAATTCTTCCAATCACCAACTTTACCTGAAAATAGTTACCGTGAGATTTTTTATACAATAGAATGAAATGCGGTTTAATATCCTACTTGTCTGGACTAACGAATTCTGGTATACGCGGGCCTGTTTGATTTGTCCGCCGACAGGCAAGTCGGTTTCTACCGCGGTGACCGTATCAAAGCAAATCAAGTGACCAGACTGATTATATTCATAGGCGTAGGGGGACAATTTCAATAAGGGGTTGGGGGGGGGGGGTATGCTGAGGCTATCTGCCCGAAAAAAAATGTTGTCACCCGAAATTTCAGAATGAATTAATCGTTAACTAATACGAATTTTCCACAAAGCTCCACTTCAGTATTATAGTATTCAAAACGTAAACCGCGGGCGATTTCATGTTATAATTATACAATTATATTTCTATGCTGTGCGGTCTTATTCTCTGATGTTTGTGTCCGAAAAACAGAAGTAAGTTACCCGAAAAATAGACTTCTCACCGAATCGGTTCGTCATTTACATTTTTCTTTGTTATAAAACGTACATCATATATGTTGACCAAATTAGGTGATAATCCCTGCCGATATGTAGGGTATGGTGCATATATATTCAATATTTGGAATTTAGCTGTTATCAGTCTATGGCTTTAATCAATTAGAGGTAGGCACAGAAAAGAGGGATCGAGTGATAGAAAAGTCAGAATTCTTTAGAGATCAGACATCACTGGGTTCTGTAGAAGACCGGTTGATTCTCATGATGTAGTATTTTCCGGAGTCTAGCCACGCTGGTTAGACTTTTACAGGAGTTGGGTTTGAGAGAAAGAAATGATAATTTTAAAAATTGTAATGTAGACTATTGTGTAACTGTTAAATGACATATCATTGTTCCTGATACATATTTAATTTCGATATCGTACGACAACACAACGGTGATGTCCTTAAGAAGAGAGATACAACAGTAGCCACTCCAGAGTCAGACAAACCCCCACGATCAGGCCAAAACAAAGATATATGGCAGCGGTAGGCCTAGACGGTTTCACCAATATACTACACCAAATACAAAATAAATGGTACGAATAGAACCGATGAGTAGAACTTTCATCTGGATTTTTTTATCGTTTTGTCATGAACTGTGCCCCCCCCCCTCCTAAACCGCGGGGCTCTGGGTCTGGACCCACTTGGCCCATGCCTAAGCTGGGGTTTGATGAATATAATATATAGACTGATTCTGCTACAGTTTTTCTAGCCCTACCTTTTCTATACAATGAACGTCCTTCGGTTAAACGAGGTTTTACAAAATCGTCTTTTACTTCATCATTGGCTTTCTTTAGTTTATTAAAAGAACAAGCATCAACTATAGCTTCACATAATTCATCAGAGACATTAGTGTCCAGAAATTTAGCCAATCCTTTTACATGATCTACGGGATTCTGAAGTAAAGGCAAATATAATTGTTTTATGTTTGTTTCTAGTGTCATTATTTAAGATACAGTATATATGATAAACTATCATGATTTATCTTCATTAGATGCCCCCCCCCCCCTGGCCTGCAATGCTCATACACTCTCAGTCCATCCCGCCTTGTTGTTATGGCTAAAGATGCTATTATATCTCACAGCTGACGATACTGATAACGGATACACGTGATATTACCTAACAGTTACTGGTGATATTATCTGACAGATACTGCTGATACCATCTAACAGTTACGGGTGATATTATCTAACTGTTACTGCTGATATCATCTAATAGTTACTGCTGATATCATCTAACAGTTACTGGTGATATTATCTGTTACTGATGATAATAGGTATATGTGATAGTATCTATAGGTGATATTATCTAACAGTAACTTATAGGTCAAATTATCTGGCGGATAATACAATATGCGATGTTATCTTACTGATAACATTAACAAAACGATAACGAATATATATTACTAATGATATATAATGTCAGCCCTTACTGATAACTGATGGTATTATATATCTAAGATAATATAATATATAATAGTTTCATATTGAAAACATATTAACTGGTGATATTATCTAAGATAGTACATTCTGTTACATTTTCTGATAATAAACTTATTTATAAATACAACCAACATACCTGCTGCATGTCCTCATAAGAGAATTGATAAAATGGGTTTTCAGTTGTTTTAAAGAACTTTTCCCATTCTAGAACATAATCATACCATAGCCCAAATGGTACTGAAACAGAGTGGATATAGATATTGAAATACCTATGATAATGCTCTCCGTTTTCTCTCCACACCCAAAAAGAGTTGCACGAAGACGTTAACAGTAATTACCAGTGATCGTTTAAAATCACCAAGAATAGCTGTTCCGGCTAGAACATTCACACGATGATCAAGGGTAACAACTATGAAAATTATCAAGTAGATCGAATGATATTTATTACTGCTAAAAATGATAGTAAGCAATAACTAAGGAACACACAATTATGGGGCAAATTCGAGAGGATTCTAAATTCCAATAATTCAAATAATATAGAACCTACAAATAATTCCCTCACCTTTATATTTTTGATGTCTCGTCTGTACAGTGATGTGTATTGTCGCCCATATTTGGCCCAAAGTAAGCTACTGGTTGACAATTTTCAACCAACAGGCATTACGATTTGCTATATGCACATCTATCTTTTCGAAAATAATAGTTCTATTTTATTGAAACGGTAGGTCACCTGATTACCTGACCCGTGCTCTTCAGCCATGTTTCTTGAAAGCAGGCGAAAACTGATCAAAAGTACTTTGTCGAAAATGACCAGAATAGGCCTAATCATGGACTGGGGTCATTCTAAATTAATCAATACTTCAAATACTTACAGCCTTTATTGAGATAAAGATCGATAAAATCACTTAAATTTCCATGATAATCAAGTGATTCTTTTACGGCATTATAATGAAAGAACATGGAAACTACCGTGTCTTTAGGATTACGAATGAGGTAAATTATTTTCGTTTTCTTTTCAAACATTTGTTTAGGTAAATGTCGTGGCCATAAATGTGAATTAAGAACTCGTGGTGATGGTTCGGCTTCAATTATATCAATATTCGTAGCTTCTAACATTTGCTGCTCTTTAATTTGTTTATGGTATTCTGTTGTTTGACCTCTCAACATCTGAATCACTTCCCAGATCCAATGAGTACCTGAAATGGCAGGACTCTTGTTCAACACAAAATCATAAATGCCACGAGTAACTCACAATCTAGCAAACGAATCTAAATATCATTAGTAATTTACAGGTTGTATTAAATAGTACTCAAGAAGCATCAGGAGTATTGCCATATTTTCTATCCGGAAAATGATGTTCGGAACCTCTTGATGGGATGTATCAAAATTACAGAAATGTATATGCCTTTTGTATAATTGCGAAACAATATCAATGTTAAAATTAAAGAAATGTACGTGGAAACACATCTTTTCGTCACCCATGTCAAAGCTTAATGATTTCTAGATAATCGAGTTAATTTTTTAAGTGTTGGTTAAAATTAATCAAATGTGTGAGTAACAAGTCAACAGTGAGGCTGGTGTCCCCCACCGACAACCCGATATAAATAGATGACACATATTAATTCCACGTTTATCGTTTTCAAAAGTATCGAGCAATCAAACTGATTATTAACTATACACTAAGTTTCACTCTCTTTCAGATAGAATCAAAGTTAAAGAAATTGCTTAGCTCTCCTTGGCTTTAGCGGGAAATGTTAATCATTGAACTCAGTCAAGACATTCACCTAATGAACATCAACATCAAGTTTAAACATTCTACCTCAATTAAAAGAAGAGTTGTTATGCTCCAAAGTCTTGACCAATCAAATTGCTTATTGCTCCTTAGCCTAAGCAGAAAATTCTCATCAAACTTAGTCAAGGTAATGATGATATAATGAATCTATCCTCAGAGTTGCACAGCTCCCACTTAATTATAACCAAAGTTATCGTGCCCAAAAGCATCAACCAATCAAATTGCTTGTATCCGCTTAATGTAAGCAGACAATGTTCATCATCGAACTCCATCAAGGCATTCACCTAATGAACGCTTACACCAAGTTTGAACATTCTACCTCAATTAGAAGGAGAGTTATTGTGTTTCAAAGTCTCGACCAATCAAATTGCTTATCGCTCCGCTTACCCTGAGGAAACAATGTTCATTATCGAACTTGGTCAAGGTATTGATGTAATGAAACTAAACACTAAGTTTGATTACTCTCACTTAATCAGAACTAAAGTTATTGTGTCCCACCTTCGAACTTCACCAAGTCATTTACGTAATAAACACCTACACCAAGTGTGAACACTGTTGCTCAATAAAAAGGCGGGTTATTGGTTCCAAAGTCTCGACCAATCAAATTGCTTATCGCTCTGCTTACACTGAGCAGAAAATGTTCATTATCGAACTTAGTCAAGGTATTGATGTATAATAAAACTATACATCAAGTTTGGTTACTCTCACTTAATCAGAACTAAAGTTATTTTGTGCCAAAGCATCAACCAATCAAATTGCTTATCTCTGCTTACCCTAAGCTTAAAATGCTTATCTTCGAACTCCATCAAGGCATCGATCTAATAAACACCTACACCAAGTTTGAACATTCTAGCTCAATTAGACGGAGGGTTATTGCGTCCCAAAAAGTGTGACGGACAGAAAGACGGACGGACGGACGGGCGAACCCATTTTAATAGTCATCTGCTTTCTTCGAAAGGCGGGGGACAATAATATTAGAAAGGATCCCAATCGTTGGATCCAAATTTTACAGATATTATTGTACCCTGGTTCCATTAATATACAAAGGTCACCAAGTTTGGGAATTCAGAAGCATCAATGATCCCCAGAATTTGTTTCGTGATTATAAAGTCTCTTTAGCATAGTCTATTATTGAACTCAGGCGATTTGAATTTGATTAAATAAAGTTATCAGCTTCCATTGATTAACCACGTTCAGCACTATTCTTGGTGGTGTTTGTGTACTTCAGCTTATTGGCAACCATAATTTCTAACATTAAGAGAACTTTCTAAAGCACTTACCGGCTTTGGGATAAGCGCATACAATGACATCATCATCTCTTATGGTCATTTCCCTAAGCTTCGTGAAATGTTCTGTATACGAGTGTTCTATCCTTTCTTCTGGAAACGCTGTCACTGGTATCCCATTTACTTCTAACGCTTTAAATTCATTTCCTGATTTATCTATGAATATGACTGGCTTTACTACAACATCTTCGTCCATTTTAATGTAGTGTATCTAGTTGATGTCGATCTTGACCTAAAAATATCAGTATATCATTTAGATAATGGGCTTATCTATTGAATATAATAGTGCATGGGTCAACTAAGAGTAAACTTAACCATGAATATAAGACAGTAGAATATTATGGAAACCCAAATGGGACAATATTCATGATTCTTGTTTCTACATTCCAGTTTGAGCATTTTAGACACGAACGCAACATTCTAAACTAATGATTCTTGTTTCCACATTCTTATGGCAACATTTCATGCACAAAATCAACATTTGAAACAAAAAAATTGACTTTATGTTTCATTTTCGGCGTTTTATCGGTAACTGTTATATATCATTAAATATTAAAATTAAAAAATTGACTTTATGTTTCATTTTCGGCGTTTTATCGGTAACTTTTATATATCATTAAATATTAAAATTAAAAAATAATGTCTTAATTTTACACGACAAAGAAATCAATTCATTGGTTTCTGAAAGTATCTAAAAAAAATCTGGAATTTGAACTCTTATGAAAATATTTTCTACGTTTCAAAAAGTCTTGAAAATGAAATGAAATGTTATGAAATGGGGTTTAACGTCCTACCGTTCTGCTCCTATACTGGGCTAATGAAGACGGGCATATGCCATACAGTGTGCTACGAGGGAAATTTTGCCCTGGCAGCGGCACTATCGCCTACTCTTATATCGAATTCCAAGTGCCAAGGGATTTTTTACGTGCATTCCAATGTATACACGGGCCATCGGTTTTTCGTCTCATCCGAAGGACTAGACAGCTGTCCTTGTCAGGCCCTCCGTTCTGCACTTCTGATAAGAGGAAACCACGTCGGAAAATCCAGATGAACTTTCTCGGCCAATGCAGGGATCGAACACCGAACCTCCAGGCTAGCGAGCCAGCGTCTTACCCACCTAGCCACCGTGGCTCCCCAAAAAGTCTTGAAGTTAAAATCTTGAAATGAAAATGTCCAGAAAAATATAATGAATTATCAACATTATTACACGAGAGGGCGTTAGCGTATGTGTACAACTTTGATACAAACTATAGATTTATCATCCATTTTTGCCACATTCGAAACACGCGTAGGTCTAATTTGCAAACACTATCCTTTAGTTATAATTAATAAGAAAAAGTAAACAAATAACAGTGAATAGATTCCATTTAAAACACAGCATTATCATCCATTTTTGTCATATTCGAAACACGTGTAGGTCTAATTTGTAAACATATGAAAAAGTAAACAAATAACAGCGAATATGTAAGAAAGGCCTTTGTCCTAATTTTTCTAGTTGTTTAAATTATAAAAGTTATTTGTATTGTTATTATATCTCGAGCTTAATTTCTGTTTCATGCAACTAATTACTGTAAACACAACAGGGGCCCACTTCCACTCGTGGAAAAGTCTACTTTTGATTTCTAATCTATAGTCTGTATCAAAGTTGTACACATACGCTAACGCCCGCTAGTGTAATAATGTTGATAATTCATTATATTTTTCTGGATATTTTCATTTCAAGATTTTAACTTCAAGACTTTTTGAAACGTAGAAAATATTTTCATAAGAGTTCAAATTCCAGATTTTTTTTGATACTTTCAGAAACCAATGAATTGATTTCTTTGTCGTGTAAAATTAAGAAATTATTTTTTAATTTTAATTTAATGATATATAAAAGTTACCGATAAAACGCCGAAAATAAAACATGAAGTCATTTTTTGTTTAAAATGTTGATTTTGGAAATGAAATGTTGACATAAGAATGTAGAAACAAAAATCATTAGTTTAGAATGTTGCGTTCGTGTCTAAAATGTTCAAACTGGAATGTAGAAACAAGAATCATGAATATTGTCCCATTTGGTCTTCCATAGTATATGGGTTCTGAAAAATTGAACATAGGAGGCGGGGCTAGACACAGGCGTAGCATGCTTTATCAGTAGTTGATTTTCTGTTAACCGTGACGTTTTGGTTTAGTATATATACTTCACATCTACTGAAACTATTGTTGACATGCCGCGATCACGTTTTGGGGGGTTGGATGGCCAAATGGTTAGCACGCGCGCGCTGTATCATACGGTCTGTCATTGAGATAACTGACGGGGTTTCGATTCCCCGGTTGTACGTGACACGGAGTAGGGTCGCCTGTTAGTCCCGAAATGACCTAGTCTGTGTCGAGTGGACGTTAAACCCCATTGCTCTCTCTCTCGCGATCACGTTTTTCTGAACTCGAATTGCTATCCTGTCTGTAATGTTTTGTATGATAATATAGGCCGGCCTACGAGGCGCCGAAGTTGACTGGTTTAGCACGACTAATTTCAAAGCATGGACACGTTACCGATTTCGCGCTTACAAATGGCCATGTATAGGACTATGATGGCATGATTATCGATATAATTGGAGATATGTTTTTATTCTGGGGCACGTTACTAATAGGAAATAAGTGAACGCGACCAAACACTCTGAATAAAATGTCTGTCCTGTCCGAAACGGGTTACGAATTATCTTTCTGGACCACCCAAAATCACTTTTCGTTTAAAGGGCGTAAAGAACTAACTCAATATCATTCAGTCTTCGACATAAACACGAATTAACCCCGAATATTTGCTACTACCACCAAGATCGGCACCCGCGCCTACGGCTTGTACTCTATGATCTCGAGCCCAATTTAGCCTTGGTGAATGTCAAACCGTACTGCCGCTGTAGACTGGACTAACCAGGCGTGAGCGACTGTCATTCAATTTGGACTGCTCACTATAATAATATCGTCGAACAAAATTTTATCCATTTTAGGTTCAAAAGAAGAGATATTAAGCCCCTATAGGGATTTAGCACAGCTAACAACTTGTGTATTTATTATTTGAGAATAAATTCCTTTGGTAAAACGTTCCATAGATTATAATTATGCGATACACACTTCCTGTTTCGAATTTAGAGGTTGTTTATTGTCCATTTAACCATGCTTGAGATGCGCTAACGTCGAGTTGCTCTAATGGTTAAACCTCCGATAAATTCGAAACAGGAGCGTGTTTATCGATTTTGTAACATAAATACGTTTAGTTTTTCTTTTGAACTATTTCTCAAATGCTTTAATTTACTGATGTTTCTGAAATATCCCGTAACAGCCAGTATTTTGAATCAGTTGCAGGAATAGAAGTAGTACGCAGTTATTCGCCTTTCTAGGACAGAAATGACCTAGTTTGTGTCGAGTGGACCCCCCCCCCCTCTCTCTCTCTCTCTCTCTCTCTCTCTCTCTCTCTCTCTCGGATTCGACACATTTTACCACAAATCAAAATCGACGAAATTTCAGATTAGTGCTACAATGTACCATAAACATGATTAGTAAATATCTTATTTTTCTTTTTCATTTTTCTATAGCCCTTATCTCCTTGAATATTATAATCCAGCATCTGACTATCGTTCTGTAGGAAAGTTTGAGTAGGGAGAATTTTTTTGAAGAAATGAAATGAAAATGAAATGAAATGGGGTTTAACGTCCTACTGTCCTGCTCCTAATGAAGACGGGTATACGCCATACAGTGTGCTATGAGGGAAATTTTGCCCGGGCAGCGGCACTATCGCCTACTCTTATATCAAATTCCAACTGCTAAGGGATCTTTTACGTGCATTCCAATGTAAACACGGGACCTCGGTTTTTCGTCTCATCCGAAGGACTAGACAGCTGTCCTTGTCAGACCCTCCGTTCTGCACCAGATGAACTTTCTCGGTCAATGCAGGGATCGAACACCCGACCTCCAGGCTAGCGATCCAGCGTCTTAACCACCTAGCTACCGTGGCTCCTTTTGAAGAAATGTTTAGTGGGTGTCCAAGTAAGTATTTTGAACTTGGGTGAACACTCACCACGTGGTAGGTTATTCCACAATGACGTCATCAAATAAGGCTGCCGACATTATAGCAATTTTATCCTACCCGCTCTAGTTTTCCGTCAATTTCTATGAAATAAAGGCCAGAATGAAGCTGTTTATTTGAACGTATTTGAAGAACATATTTTTGGTAATTTTTTTTATTAATTTTCAAGAAAACACATACCACGTTTTTAAGCGAAAACGTGGGAAAAGTTAAAAAAAAAATAAGAAATTTAGCTAAAGAACTATCTGTGCATACTAATTAATGATGTCAAGCATAGTTACCGCAAGATGTGATGTCACAATACATAGTTACCAGATGTAGTATCTTCTGACTGTGAAGAAATACAACGAGCGGACTCTCTCACACGAATTCAAAATGAAATTAGCAAACATATACCTAGCGTCAATAAAACCTATGTATAAATTTATATGGATCACAATAATAATTGTTACCTTTATAATAGAAGGAGTTTAAGACATGTTATTACCGTAAACATACTAAAATATCGCAAACAGAGCACGCAGAAACGGGTGCGTTCACTTTGCATCAAACGCCATTCAAACCAGCTTTGGTGGCAAAATGGGTTTTTTTTATTTCTCAGAATCAAGGGATGAATAAACTACTAGACTGCAAATTTTCATACGCGGTCTATGTTGTATTGTATTCAGGAGGCCTGTTTCAAACAAAATATTATTTTATATCCAAGTGGACCTTCCATATAAACATCTATCTGCATAGTTTATGAAAAAATCAATTTAAACAACATTTAGATATTATCTACCACCTGTAGCACTTTCCCCTCAAACTAACAATAAATTGTTTATTCGAATTTTCTATTAAACAGAAACGTTCTTGTCGCTGTAAAATACTCGATCAATATACTAAGTGTTAATTTATATGATAATTTAAGGCATACACTATTTAACACCTTATCATTCTGCATGAAATGACAATGAATTGCTTTTTGGATAAAACGGGAAAAAATACTTTTCTTTCGTTATTGTAGCAGTAAAATAATACACGAATTATTATTTTATATAGCGTATTTCTACTGATGATTAAAGTAATCAGGTACCGCAGAAAATTGCAACACGTTCTAACATCCAATCTTTCCCCTCCCTTTTTAGGGATGGGTTGAACAAGAGTAAAGTAGTTT